ATTTATTAAAACTTTCCCTTAGGAAATTTCTAAGGTGAACTGGAGTGGGGGCTCTGACCTTAATTGACTGATAGTGAGACAGGTTTAAATTTTAGCAATTTATGAAGAAATATCCAAACATACTCCTGGATTACCCTAGAATTTTAGAACTCTTGTATGATGATGAGACTAAATGTGGTAATGAGTTAACTAGCAGGCTGGGGGGAGAACTGCAAGTGAGTTTGGTTGACCCAAGGAATTTCCTTAGGAATTAGGAGTTAAGGGAGATGTGTAAGGCACTGGGAAAACAAAGATGAAAATACACACAGTCCCCACCCTCAAGGAGCTTAGAATCCAATGGGGGAGAAGTAACATATATGTAAATAATTATAAGTTATCATGTAAAATTAATGTATTGATGTGTACATAATGTGGTAAGTTCACAGGTGAGGGCAAAGCCAGAGGAGTGAGGGATTTGAAGAGGGAAGGATCACTAGTCTGATAGTAAAAGAAATATTAAAACTTGGCAGATTGGCAGTGGTCTCCTGGGCCATGTAATGAAAACAAAATGCTTTCCTCCAGCCCCCCTCCCCCCCTTTCTCTTTCATCCCCAACTCCCACTCATCTTTCTCATCTTCTTCCCAGCTCTTCATTTTACCTGACACTTTCCTATCACTGTTTTCTTCTTTCCTTCCTTCCCTCTGTCTTGTTCCCATTCTTATTCTTGCCTTTTGAGGGTACCCTCCTCCACCTTTTCCACTCTTCCTTTCTCATTTTCATACCTTTTTTCCTCATGCCTTTTCTTTGAAAGAGTTAAGGAATTTAATGAGGGCATTGCCTTTAAGAAACAATTCCAAAAGAAAACCAGGCATTACGTCTTTGGAAATCAGTGATGTTGGCTATTTTCTGCCCATTATTCAGAGTTTCTAGGCTCAGTTCAGAGAAGACAGCAATTGTACTTCATTGGGTTATTCTCACCTTATCTATGTGTAGTGAGTGCACTCTGGCTTGCTTTCCCAAAGCTGTGTTGGAGACATCAGCCTCTCAGAATTGTAGGGTACCCTGAGGAGTCTGGGGTTCTCTCTTTTCTATTGCCACAGTCTTGAAAGCCCACTGCTTATGGGGAATTTTTTTCTCCAGTTTATTAAATAAATCTGTTAATCTTTTCCATGTCTGGACTAGGTGAGGTTGCCTGGGGCTGGAGTAGAATTATGGGATGGTGGACAGAGAGTCCAAATGATCTGGGCTGAAGTCCTATCTCTGCCCTGTATTAGCTCTATGACCCCGGGCACATTAATTAACCTCTCAATACTCTAGGCAACTTTCTAAGACTTTAACTGGAAGAAAAGGTATTGATCTGTATTGGTAGAGGGATTTTCCTCACCCATGTCCTATCTTCACTGAATAAATATCTGGTGAACTGGAGTGGGGGCTCTGACCTTAATTGACTGATAGTGAGAC